AATATCAATGATATCACGTAGGCGTTTCGTACGTATTTTTCTAATTGTACGTTCGAATGGAAAAAAGAATAGTTGAACAGTGAAAGTGTCCTTTTGAAATCATACGAATACTTCATAAAGTGGAAATATACAATTATGCTGAAAGTAAAGATATATATATATATATATAGAGAGAGAGAGAGAGAGAAAGAGAGAGAGAGGGAGAGAAAGAGAGAGAGAGAGAGATTCGAAAGAGAGAGAGAGGGAGAGAAAGAGAGAGAGAGAGAGAGATTCGAAAGAGAGACAGAAAATCGAAATAATTTCGAAAAGAAAAGAAAGACAAAAGAGGGAAAGAAAAAAGATGGTGGAAAGGGAAAAGAAAGAAGGGGGATAGAGAAAAAAGACAAAAAAGGGGAAAAAAAATATATATATATATAGAAAAAAGGAAAAGAAAAAGAAAGAAAAAGGATTGCCTTTTAAAGGGAAATAAAGTTGGCGGCGTACGCGAGGGCCGCGGGTGTTCCGTCGAGCGCAGACAGTGCAAAGCGGGCGAGACCTTCCCGGTGGTAAGCTCGAAAAGCTCGAAAAGCCCGAAAGAGAGTGTCACGTTTCCATGGTAACTTGGTGGGGCGACTCCGCCTCTAGAGTCGCTGGTTCGATATCCTCTCGTTTCCCTTCCTACGCTACAGAGTCAGCGTGCTCCACATTTTTCCAACACAGGCAAAAGTAGTCGGGCCCCGAACGTGTACCATTTTCTAACTGGAAAAGGAAATAGAGAAAAATAAAAATCTATGAAACCCAAATACGAACGAACGTATAACTTTTTCACATAGTTCCCAACGAAAAGTTACTAAGAAGTTGAAAAGTTTAAAGGTGAACAATTGTTATTATTGCATTTCTATCGTTTCATTAATAAAATTCATAAGAAATAATGTAATAATGTAGATCTGGAAAATACGAATTACGTCGAACTAGCTAATTTCTCAGACGAATATATGTATGTATATGATTTTCCTTCAGGATTATATCGCGAGTCGTTCAAAACGAAATTCAAGGTACACATATATGTATATGTGTACATATATATATGTATGTATATACGTATATACATATATATATATATATATACATACATATATACATGTATATATATATATATATATATATATATATATATGTATATATACATGAGTGAAAGAGACGCATGCGCAGAAAAGGCGTCTACGTATGGATAAATACCCACACCATCCACGATGGCGAACGTATCCGATTAGAGAAGAGAAAACACGTTCGAACGTTTTAAAATTCTGATGGAACTCGCGAATATTCAGCAACTCGTTAAACGAAAAACACTTTTTTTTTCAAGATCTACCTCGCGAAATGTACCTTTCAAAATTTTTTTTCTCCTAACGCGTAAAGAGAAAAATAAAAAAAGTTCGTCGATTTGTCGAAAACAGATTTGACGGACCATTACGGAGAGTTCTCTTTTTCTGTTGATAGATGTATAGAATTTTGAATTTTCGAGTTTTCCTCTCTATCTGGAGAACGTGGCGTTAAAACCCGAATCTGTCGATATCTCGATCAGGCTGGGCTATGACGGCAATGGTTGGATGTCGAAGAACGTAGGTTTAATTTCGTTGAGTGCATCCAATGGATCGACTCAACGTGCAAACATATATGTGTGTAGGTATATACGTATTGAGGAGTATACATGTGTATATATACGGAAGCATTAACGTGGAGACATGCACATAGCTACAAGTATATATATATATATATATATATGTACGTATGTACGTACGTGAACGAATAATGGAGAGAAAGAACAGAAAAAGAGAAAGAAAGAAAGAGAGAGAGAGAGAGAGAGAGAAGCTCGTAGCAGTGATTCACCTAGGTACAATAAAAATATGTCTCCTTCTTTCGAACCCCGGACAGAGTCAACCCTTGTCGAAAAGGAAAGCGAAGAGAAGACTTAAACAACCCCCGTACTGGACTGGTGGTCGAGGGATGTGCTTTCCAAAACGGTCCATGCCCGCCATTATTGACTATCGGTCTTAATTAGGGCGATAGTATCCTCTTCTATTCCTTTACACAACCTTTCGCATCCCTAAAATCCCATAGAGTCTATTTCTATCGTACGGGTATCACATCATCGGTTCATTTCGTTCTCCAACGAGTGATTCTTTTTCGATTATAATAGAATAAAAAAAATAAAATGAAAAATATTCTCCAATATCTTTTACATTTTTGTCAAGAATAATACGTTAGTCTGGAAAAATTCAATTGTCTTATGAACGATAATAAAACGTAATAATTATAATAGAAATAAAAGAAAAAAACAAACAAAAGAAAAAAAAACAAAAAGAAGAAAAAAACAAAGATAAAAGAAAATAAAGAACATAACATAATAAATTTGTATAAACTATACTGCCTTATCGGTCCGTCTTATTAAACGAGCAATTCATCGGTTGATCCTCGCTCCGCAAATCATCGAAAAATCTTATCCTCGGACGCTATATAGTTACGTTCTCATCTTTCGTGAGTACGCTAGAGAAGGAAACCGATGAGGATGAAGAGGATAAGGAAGAGAAAGAGAAGGAGGGTGAGGATTTTGAAGCGCAGGCGTAACAGGAACCTCCCCCACCAAGCGTACTAGTATATTATACGTATCTCTCTTTTGCCTTGGCGCGATACGATTCGAGGCGGTCGCGTTGGTATAACTGGTGGATGGTAGTAGGGTGGAAACCTCCCCTCCAATACACTCACACACGAAGAAACACCTACACCTTTAGAGAGGCTCTCCACTCTACCTTCTCTGTCCACGCATCCCTCTGGATTCCCTCTTGCTTTCTCGGCAGCGTCGACTACGTAGCCAAGGAACATCGCGAATCCTGGACGTTTCATAGTGTCGTGCCCGCGGATTACCTTTCGTTATTAATTAAAATCGTATTCGCGATCGAATATTATTCGATTAGATTCGATCTAAGATCTTAACCTTCAACATCGAATTTAATATTAAAGTGACTTCAAGAAAGACAACTACATAAATAATCGAATTGGATTTGTCGTCAAATTTCCAAAGAGAAATTGGAAGATTGATATTAGCAGAATGTTCCGAGGATCGTGCTTACGTCGTTCATGAAGACGTCCTCGTTGAATCGTTCGAGTGATTTGCGATCGGCGTAAACGAGACGCATCCCGAGAATTCCGATCGTCCTCAGCGTAATTTCAATTCCCAGTCGGACTACCCAACAAGGAGGAACGAAGGAGTTGCTTCTTCTTCTTTGTGCAGGATGTATAAGAGAATGATATTAGCGATCGTACGCGAGAAACCGTGCTTGGTGACTAGTCAATGGAATCAGCCAGTGTCTTCGATGGATAGCTCATCTCGAACGGGTTTGCCTCTTTCTCCGTGAGAGTGAGGGAGAAAGAAAAAGAGAGAGAGAAAGAGAGAGAGAGAGAGAGAGAGAGAGAAAGATAGAGAGAAAGAGATAGAGAGAGAGAAATAGAGAGAGAGAGAGAGAGAGAAAGAGAGAGAGAGAGAGAGAGAGAGAGAGAAAGATAGCTGGTCCAGGAACCAGCGGAATTCTCCTTCTCGTTTCTTACGTCGAGTCAGCGAGTTCGATCACGTTCGGGTTTAACCGTCGGACCTAAAACCAAAAGAAGATTCTCCAAAGGGAACGCCGACTAGATATATCCCGTAAAGCTATCGCTTTACCGACCGATTCCCGAGCTTTTTTCTCGACCTGGCATGCACCGTTTGTATCAGACCTGGGCCACATTTACATCGACGCGCGTGTAAAAACCGAGCCGTCGCTCGCTCGACGCCAAAGATCGAGGGGAGGCTACGTTTCGCAAGCCACGAACGAGATAGATCCTTCCGATCGAGTTGGACCCTCGAAAGCCTAGCCGATCGTTCTCCTGTATTTCGTCGATTTCATCTTCCTTGAAATTCTTTAGGAATAATATATATATATATATATATATATATATATATATATCAGGGATTATATTTATTATATACTAAAAAAGACAAGAAAATAAAAAGAAAACAAAAAGGAAGAGAAGAAGAAAAATAAAAGAAAATGGAAGGAGATCTTCGTTAAATTGAAAAACATGATCAAACGAGAACGAGCATAAGGTTGATCTCCCTCGTTGAGATTGGTCGTAAAGGAAAGAAACAAAAAAAAAGAGATCATCTCGATCTGAAAACGGCATGTTCAAGGTTAAGTCGAGATAAACCGAGACCTGTGGACAGTAGTACCGATAAGGAGTCGGATCGTTGCCACGAAGTCTGCAAGAGTAAAAGAGAGAAACGACGAGTGTGTCGTTGGCTTTAGGCCTGGAAGGACTAACGTCGATACTCTTTTTCATTTATGCTTTTTCGATATTCGCATTTAATCTATAATTTTTCGTTTATATTTCGTGCACGGTGATAAAACGAAATTGTTAAATCACGATGAATCTCGAAGAGGATCCTTTTGCAAAACAAAGAGAGAAGACGAAGAGAAATAAAAAGATTCGGGAAGAATCATTTCGACGTGAGATAAATAGGAAGATTTAAGAAGAAACCGCCAAAAAGATCAGGTTTTATGGAATTCGATATACGAAAAGAGTTTAAAACTTTCGACGTGACACGTCAATTCGTTATAGAGTTTCCCGAAAGGTGACGATTTGTAATTAGAACGCGATAAAGATTCAAGCACGTGTAAATACTACGTGTAATATTTCGTTCATTGACGAGGACGATTCAATAGTATCGATCTTTAAAGATATTAACAGTAAATATGTCTGACATTACTAATTTCGAGATTTCACATAAAGATTTATAGATTAATTATTTTGTTTTTTGACAAAAGTGATCAAGGACGCGTACGTGTGTATATAAAAAAATCGTAATCGAAGAAACTAATCGATGAAAATTATTGAGCGATAGTGCGATCGAGTGCCTCTCGACGATCATTTTGATTACCAAAGACTGGCTACCAACTACACGGTTACCGTCGCACAGTGATCAACGGAATCTTACCGGCGGAACGGACGATACGGTACGACGATTAGAAGAAAAAGCATCGATTTATTTATTAGACTCGATAAATCATCGTATACCTTTTTTTCTTTTAACAACAATATAATTACATAATTGGATTAGTGATAAGTGAGAAGTGCCAGTGCCGAAATCGGATCACGTGTGTAAACTCGAATAAAAGTAAAAAAAGCTCACGATCGAAATATCTAACTATCTCTAACTATCTCTAACTAGGTAAAAAAAAATAGATTGATAAAAGATTTATTTTCTTCAAATTATATGAGCGATTTTCAAATTGATAACAATATTATTTAATTGTTTACAAAATTGGAAGTTATCAAAGTCGATTAAAATATAGAGATATAATAAAACGAGAAACGATATCGAGTGAATAGAAATAAGATATTCTAATTTGATAGCTCGATCGAGGATATACTTAGACTGGAGCTGTATTTGCCATACGCACCACTGCCGGGGGGTGGTGAAATCCTCCCGGCAGTGAGCACGGGTGCTGCTTCAGGTGGCTGTCGTCCGGTGCTATTGGGTGGCATCGATTTGTCGATGTCGGCAGCGGTGGAACCGGTTCCGACGCTACCAACGCTACCGACGAGCGGACTACCAGCTCACAATCCTCTCCATCATCCGCCCGGAGGTCTGGCCTTGCCACCCTTGGCTTCGGCCTCAGTTATGATGCCACGTCCACCACCGGGTACCACCATGCCACCTCTTGGTCCATCCTCTTTGCCGCAGGCTCATCAAGATACCGGAGACCTAGCGGACACTCCGCCCAATCCTGACGTCCTCTTAGCTCTTCTAGCCAGGAATAAAAACTTGGAAGGTAGGGGATGTATGATAAACACCGATATTTAAATACTTTCCTTTTCTCTCTCTCTCTCTCTCCTTCTCTCTCTCTCTCTCTCTCTCTCTCTCTCTCTCTCTCTTTCTCTCTTTTTCTAGTTAATCATTTCGTCAGTCTATTACTCTTATTGATAATTCAGTAATAAATATGTTTCAACGACTATTGCAAATTTTTATTCTTAAGCGTTCTTTTAAGATTTATATTGCTGCGATAATAGAAATTCTAAAACTTACAACAAGAGAGGACACTGATTTAAACGTGCCTTCGTTATCGTTCATTTTTGATTAAAATTGTTTCTACACTTATGATCTGACGTAACACGATCGATGTTACTTGAATTTCTAACGATATCTTTGAAAATCGAAAGGAAATGAAATAGTCATAAAATATATGTCGGGATCGGTTTTAATTCTAAGATTGAAACATACCGTAACATACTCGGAGTAGATTAATAAAGACTACTCGAGATAAAGAAGTCCCAGCCACGATGACGCCGCTATCGCGGCCGCTCTTACATTATCGGGTCAAGTTGAAATTTTTTTACCGCGTTAAACACGAACGGTGGCTGGCAAGTTTTCGATAAGCCGAGTCTCGATTTTTGCGATCGATAAGATTAATGCTTAGTGTTAGTTAACATTATAACCACATTTAGAATCGACTATAGCGTGCATTTTATCAATTATAAAAAAGCTATTACGAGTATTGTATAATATTATATCTTTCGTGTAAGTTCGAATATAGTTATCAGATATTTCTTTTCTTTTTTTCTTTTTTTCTTTTTTTTTTTTCTACTAAATGATAACTTTGCATGTTCTTTTATATCTGTTCACCGTATTCCTAATTAATGGTTGTTAATTCAAAAATCGTTAACCGAAAGTTCAAAATTTATACTAATTTCGTTTTATTCCTTCGAATCTAAAAATATCCAAAGATTTATCTACATTGATCTTTTTTTCAAAATAAACAATAAGAGTCTGAGAGAAAGAGAGAAGAACGTAGTACCCATAACTTCACGTTTTACTTCCTATTGTCTATTCATTTTCACGAGCATCGCGTCTTGTCTTGTCGGGCCCACACATAAATGCACTACAATTGTAGGAGTCTCTCGCATGCAACAGATTACTCCTTGTGCATAATGCACAGCTTTCGTGCAATCCCTTGCGCCTTCTTCTCTCTCTCTCTCTCTCTCTATCTCTCTCTTTCTCTTTACGAACGATACACGTGTAAACACATGTGGCGTACTTTACGAGTACTACGTAAAATCACGGAACATTGAGGCATATATATGTATGTACTTACGAAACGTGCTCATGATGCTATTGTCTCAGATTTTATCCATCCTCTCATCTCCCTTTCTCTTTCTCTCTCTCTCTCTCTCTCTCTCTCTTTCTCTCTCTCTCTCTGTCTGTCTGTCTGTCTGTCTAAGTCACAGTTTACCATCTGTCTAAAACTCCGATAATCTTCTCTCCTAATTTCACTTTATATGGCAGTGATCCCTACCTCTCTCTCTCTCTCTCTCTCTCTCTCTCTCTCTCTCTCTCTCTCTCTCTCTCTCTCTCTCTCTCTCTCTCTCTCTCTCTTGGTTTCTCTCGATTTCGGTGAGTAGAGCAAGGTCGAAGGACTCCTTAATTATGAAAGTAAGTTCGACCGAGGTACGAGCTAGCTCGTATAACTGCATTATAAGAATCAATGAACTCTTAAATCTTCTTATTAATGTTTAAAGATATGCGGATATATCATGCGGTTCAATAGTTCTTAAGGAATTTAAGGGAAATGAGAGATTGAAAAAAGACATGTAATTATTCTTTTCTTTTTTTTTTCTTTTTTCTTTCTTTTACATGTTCTAAATAATGGGTAATAACTTAAAAGTATTAAAGGGTTAAGAAAAAAATAAAGATGAGGGATCTAAAAGGACTTGACTTTTGTCGAAGAAAATAAGCAGCGAATGTTTCTCACCACGGACTGATAAGGTTTTTCTTAATAAAAAATGTCACGATAGTGGTGTTGGTATATATTTTAATAAGTTAAGTGCCACACCAGGTCGGTCTCTTCGTTGCTGTTGGGTCGGTTTAATCATGTAAGAGTGTTTAATCATGTAAAAGTGTTCAGAGGCTTGGCCACCCTCTAATCAATACGCTATTGCTTCGGGCGGGATAGTTAATGTGCTTAAGCCTAAACCCGAGGCGTTACATACAACATAGCTACTACGTTGTCGTCGACAGTAAAAGTGACATAAATGTGTAATGCTTGTTTTATATGAACTACATATATTGTGATGAGAATAAAGAAAATATCAAAATAATGTAAAGAAAATTCGAAGAATTAAATAATAGATATAATTCAAAAAATGATATATTCATTATAATGAATATAAACAAGGAAGAAGATATTAAAGAATGAAAAATAATGATTATTATTATGTAAACGTATTAATGAGAGATGAGAAGTTCAGAAAATAAGGGTGAGCATTGAAATTCGTGGGAGCCATAAAACGTCGTTGTAGTCATCGTCGTCGAAGAAAAAGGAGAGAGTGAAAGAAAGAAAGAAAAAAAAAAGTATAGGGATGGAGAAATGAGGAGAGACGTTGGCTCGAACGACAAGAAAGCGACCGATGAGAACGTCAAGCATCCCCTCCGCAAATGGTAACCATAGGAAACGCCGGCTCATGGCGAATGAGGGCTGGATAGGACAGGGAGGATGGGTGGTAGGGGGTGAAAAGAAAATGGCGGCTGGTTACAGCGCTCGAGGCATTCACTTTCAGAGAAGGAAAAGCTACCGGGAAAATGAGGATGAAGGTTGCTACCTTTGTTGCGGCCGAACGAATCGGCTTTGCCCTACTGAAAGGGCTGAACTTTAAAGTTCTACGAGGGTTCGTGCGCGCGCATGAATATAAATACATATGCAGATAGAATCTCTTGCACACACATACAGATAAAGTAATTGTGTCTCGCGTTTTTCGAAGCAGTCAAAATTGATGATTGGATGAGTTGATCCTATTACAGAAACGAAGAAGTTTTAGAATTATGACAGACTTTAGTCTCTTCGCGTCAATTTTTCGCACAGAATCTTACGGGACTCGTAACAAAGTATTCTTTATGTTAGATTTCTACTGGAAAAGTTATAAGCTCGATAAAAAAAAAACTGCATTAATATTTCATTCGATATCGATCTTTAAGAGTTTCTCTGGTTCATCGATCGCCAGATATTCGACTGAAAGATTATTGCGAAAACGTGAAGAGATAAAAGAGAGAGAGAGAGAGAGAGAGAGAGAGAAAGAGCTTTTGGCCAGCTATATTTTTCTTCGTGGGAAACTCGTGAACCAAGAGGAAATTACTTTCCAACTCGAAACTTTCTACGCTCCGCGGCTTTTTTTATTTCTTTTCTTCTTCTTCTTCTTTCATTTTTTTTCTTTTTTTTTATGTATATATATATATATATATATATATATATATATATATATATATACCACGGCCACGTTAGTATCACCCTCGATCGAGAGAACCGTACGAGTCCATCCACTTTTTCCCGTTCTGTTTTCGACCTCTCCTCTACTTCTTCTTCTTCTTCTTCTTCTTCTTCTTCTTCTTCTTCCTCCTCCTCCTTCTCTTCCTCCTCCTCCTCCTACTGCCCCTGCCTCCTCCTCTTCGTTTTCTCGGCACGACTTCGCTTCGTGTCGGTGGTCACTCGCTTTTGATACATCGCCACGGTAACGTCGTTAAGGTTCTATTATCGACCTTTTATAGGGAGTGCGTCTCGTTGCGTAAAAATTATTGACGCCATATTATATCACCGCTATCCATTGAAATAATGTTCTAATATTATTAACGGGCATAGCTATTTTCATCGTCTGGACCATAATTCTTCTTCTTCACCTGCACGTACTTTTGTTTTTGTCTTCCTGCTATATGCTTTTTTTTTTAGGGTATCTTGTAACATGTAGGAATTACTTTATCGATGGATAATGAGACAATGAAAAACTTTCATATAAATATGTGTGCCATCGTATAAACGATTAATTATTAATTATTAAATTCGTTAACAGTATATACTTATTAACTAGATCCCAAATTTTAATCTTCGGTATATACTTTGAAAAATGAAAAAAATGTATAAAAATTAAATATGCATATATTCTTATTATACATATATATATAATAGTAATAAATTTCTCTTATCATGCTATAGAGATTTGTTAGAATTTTAATGTAATTTTAAACTAGCTAATATGAGACAGAGAGAGAGAGAAAGAGAGAGAGAGAGAGAGAGAGAGAAATAAAAAAGCTAATTTTAAAAGAAAATCATTAATATTATTCATTCCATTAATCGGAACGTACAAAAAAAAAGTGTAATAGATATAGATACGATATAAATAAAACAAAAATAATAAAATCCTTAACGCGAAGAACCCGTCTGACTTTTTACGTGAGGAGCTCGCGCATGACACGCGTCGGGCTTTGATATCGTGTTACGGCAGGAAGTTATAACTCGGAAGTATCATAGTGTTTCGAGCAAAAAAGTCGTTCAGTTTTATTTTTTTTCTTTTTTTTTTTCTTTTTGTTTTTTTTTTTTTTCTTTCAACCTCGTGTGAATATCCTAAGTCAATCGGTCTCTCCCTTTCAAACGGTCAATAAAAAAGTTAAGTAGGTATATACTAGAGAAAGTACGTGTAGGATCGATAGGTGAATCCTATTACCAAACGTAGAGGGAAAAAAAGAAGAGGAGAGAGAGAGAGAGAGAGAGAAAGAGAGAGAGAGAGGGAATAAGCAATTCCCTCGTTTTGGAAAGGAAACCTAAGAACGTAAAGAACGTGTAAAATCGGTAAAACGCTTAATTCGACAACGTGGACAATCGCAAAGGCAACGCTTAATCGTTTTCGAACAATCTAAACTTAAAGTAGAACATCTCTCTCTTCAATGACGATAAATCGTTCACATTACGATAAGAAACTCTCGTACCTCCATACCGATTGTAAGCAATGA